ATTAAAACTTTTAAATTAAGTTTCTTGAATTTGAATTTCTTGAATACTCTCAGTGGAATGTCTATTTTGTGCTTAGTGTTCTTGTGTGTTCATGTTAATCTTCCCAAGAACTTTGTCTAGATAGGTATAACTATGTCCATTGTATGAATGAGGAAACAGCACTCCTAATAGCACACAGCAGAATTGAGATTTGCTAGTCCTTTTCTTTTCCATTAATACCGCACTGCCCCTTAAACTTAAAACATTGCTACAGAAGAAAAGTAATGTAAAAATTGAAGTCATCACCTGTGATAATGATTTTTCATAACCTAGTAAAATGCGATTTTGTGTTAGTTTTGTGCTTCCTCCTGGAGCGATGTTGGAAAGAGACTAAAGGGTCTCTGCCTTCTTGCCTGGTGGCTACAGCAGTATTTCTTCATTAAAACATTATTTTCCCTATCTGGAAACTGTCACGACTTAAGTGATGAGTCAATGACAGAGCACACTCTTTGATTTTTCTGATTCAAGATAGAGTTGTAGTTTTAATATCTACCCTCCATGCAGACTAAATAAAGGATGTTTACAGTCAATAGGAGGTTTTATTTTATTGGAAGGTACCTCATTTACTTGAAGGCCTTTGGGACTCTGAGTTTCTTGTAAGTAAAGAAGCTAGTTTACCTGATAGAGAAAATGAGTAAGTTTGTGTTTAGTTTAATGTACTATATAAATTTAGATTTATCCTCCCTTTTTCCTATTTCATATATAGTTGTCTTTATGAGTTTATGTATATATGTTCACATGTATGCACATTTCATAAATGCATATTCTAATATACACTTATAATGACCAAATGAATATTTTACTATTGAATATGTTAGTATTTGAAGAATGGTATAGCTTCATAGCCAATGCATATTGAAAAATATCCTGTAGAAAACCTTTGCAGTTTGGAAGCAAAAACCTGCTTAATACTTATGTATTTGTTAATTACATAAATTATCTTCTGTTTGATTTATAATTTCCTACTTTCTATAATATTTCAAATTTTAATGAAGCAACTAAAGTAGCTACAATAAACAAGAATGTATTAATGATACTGGCCACAATGTAACAAAATAAGATTTAATCTAGTTTAATGTCATTAAATGTGAAGCAAAATCAGTGAATGAAGAAGAATCGTTTATGTTTCATTCAGACCAGCACTTGCCTACCACATGCTCCTCCTAGTGAAGAGCTTGCATGTTAGTGGAGGAGACAGGAAGACACCCCAAAAAAAATTATTTCCAGTTTACTCTAGCCAGTACTAAAATAGGAGGATGCAAGCTGTTGTGAAGATAGTAATAGGAGTAAAAGGATTCAGTCTGACCTGAAGACGTAGATAAGGCTTCTTTCCATCACTACTACTATAACTGTCGTCCACACCATCCTTATTTCTTAACTCTCTGCAATTGCTTCCTAAAGGTCTACCTGCTTTAATCATACACAGGGCCAACATACACAGGGCCAATGATGGAGCTCTTGTTTTTGTTTTTGTTTGTATGTACATTTAAGCAATTCATATCTTGTAACACCTCCAATTAAAACCCGGTTAAATAAATAAAATGTCTAATTAAACACTAATTGTTTCCCATAACTTGGAGGGTAAAAACTAGGCTCTCTTACATAGCAACAACCATATGATAGACCTGGCTTTTGCTTTGTTTTCCAATTTCATGTCATACCATCCTTCCCACAGTCACCTTCCCCCACTATCCTGAACTTACTTCTTTGCCTGACTAGTAGCAAGCTTGTTTCTGTGGATCTAGGCTTAGCACTCAGGTTTACTCTGTCAGAAAAATTCTGAGTCTTCATTTTAGTAACATCAATTTCAACAAAGATTCGATTCCTAGAAATGCCTTCATTGACCAGATTATTTCCTTCCCAGGCTCTCTCTCCCCAGAGCCTCTTTTATGTTTTCTTTTATCCTTATCTGAACTTGTTTGTTATTTGTTTTCCATCTCCCCATTCAAGACTATTTATTCAACAAGGGCTGAGACCCTATATTGCTCTCTGTTGTAGGAACTGCTTAGTATATACTCTTTGAATGAATGACTGAGTGCAAGGTGTCTGGGCTGAATTAGATTGGGATGAGTAAGATGCATCCTGACCAGAAACAATAGCATGAGCATGGACACAGAAGCATGAATGGGCTTAAGATGTAAGGGGGAACTGTAAGCAACCCAACAACTGAACACTGGAGTGTCAGCAAAGCAGTGGGTGTAGCTGGTGATAAAGACAGTAAGTAGCTCACAGAGACCATTGGTATGCCTTGACTTTGGATATTACCGTTGAAAAAGATTTTTTTTTATTTAGATAAGTGTTTCTCAACCATTTTAAAACAGGACCCACCAGAAATAAATTTTGTATTATCTGTAAACTGAGATCCATCCCCAGATGTTAGAGGCTACTGCATTTCTTGATTCCTGGCTCCCTTCCTCCACCTTCAAAGCCAGCGGTGGAAGATTGAGTCTTTCTCACACCACAGTTGACTCTGCGGTCTCTCTTGTGTACTTTTAAGGTTTCTTGTGATTAGATTGGATCCACTTGGATAATCAGGTAAAATCAGGTCATTTCACTTTCAGGTCCTTTACAAATTTAGTCACATTTCCAAAGTCCTACTTTGGGATACAATAGAGAACAAGATAGGGGCTCAGCCCTTGTTGAATAAATATTCTTGAATGGGGAGATGGAAAACAAATAACAAGTAAGTTCAGATAAGGATAAAAGAAAACATAAAAGAGGCTCTGGGGAGAAAGAACATAAAGTAACATAAGGACATGAACACCTGTGGTGGGCCAGCATGCTGTCTACCATCATGTTTATAAGAGGTTTTCCATAACTCATATTCCAGCTTTCTTTCAATAACATTTTAGTACTGACTCTTTCCTAGTGCTAAATGCTGGCTTACAACAGTCAGCCAGGAAGTCAGTGTTCCTGCTATAATGGTGACTTAAATTCTAGCACAAAGATAGATGACAAATAATCAGGTAAATAAAGTAGTTACAGATTGTACCATGAAGGCAATATGTAAAGTGGTGAATAAATAGCAGTGAAGCAAGACCACTTTGACTAGGTGGTCAGGGAGGGGCTCTCTAAGGAAGTGACACATGATCTGATACTGAAAGACACAAGTCAGCCACTAAGAACCAGGGCAGGAGGATTCTAGCAGAGGAAATAGAAAGTGCAAAGTCCCCAGACAGCAAAGATCCATTCTTTTTCAAGGAACAGTCTGAAAGTCAGTATGAGTACAGCAGAGTGAACAAGTCAAAAAGTAGAAGAGATGATGACTGAGAGATGGAATGTAGTAAGGACTTTGGATTTTATTCTAATACTTGTGAAGACTGATTGAAAGGCGTTTAATACTGGTGGTATGAGACAGGTAACAATCTGGTTTATGTTTTTAAAAGATAATTAGCTATGTGAAAATGACTTTTAAAAGGGCAAGGATGAATTGGAGAGGTATTTGGGAACTATGGTAGTCATCTAGGGGAGAAATGTGATTGCTTTAGCTTAGGATAAAAAGAAGAGAAATGGGGGAATTGGATGATCTGTGATATATTTGGGAGGTAGAATTGTTAGACCTGTGATGCTGCCACTGTATGAATACAGGGAATAATAAAGAGATTTTCGGACAACTTAGAGGATGATTTTATTTATAAAGACAGAAAAGACTGGGAGAAGAACAAGTATGGAGAAAGAAGCGAGACAAAAAATTCCAACTGAACATGTAAAATATTGAGTAGCATGATAAATATCTAAGGAGTGATGCCTAAGAGATGGACATGTGAGACTAGACTTCAGAAAGATGTCTGAGGTGAGGAGATGTGTATGAGTCTTTTCAAAATGTTATCTAAAGTCAACTGAACAAATGAGATCCCTCAGGAGAAAGTAGAAACAGAGAAGAAGTGTATCTTGTGGTTACTAAAGTTCTCCAAGATTCAGGAAGAGGAAGAAAGATAGCCAGCAAACTGTTGTAAATATGCTAATAGTATTTTGGTCTTTCCTGAGCAATAACTCTATCAGAGGTAGAAGTTGTTAAAAGCAAGTTGGCCTCACCTAGAAGCCCTCTAGGGCAGAACTGAAATATCTCTAGCATTTAATGTAGTGCTTGTCTATGCTGAATGAGTAAGTGAATTTTACTGAGGGTCTCCAGATATTGTGGTATATATGGAATAAGAAGTAAACATTTGCAGTAGCAGGCTCTAAGTGGCCCGACATCACAAAACTTTCTACTTTATAATTTTTTGGCTTGCTGTAATAGAATTTAGAGAATTTGCTAATGACTAGTAGCATCATTCCTTAGCTTTAAATTTGGAAGCAGAAATCCCAAGTTTGCATTTTGTGAACCATTCAAGATAAAAAATACTTTAAAAAGTAAATAATTTGTAAACAAGTAAAATTGAACTTCTTTGGAAAACCCAACCAATGGCATTAGAGTCCTTGGAAATCCTTTCTTGTCAACAAAGAGAGCAATCTTTTTCTAAGTTCTTAAAAAAGGTAAGGTTATGCACTATTTTCAAACCCCTTCTTCCAGAAGCATGTGAGTAAATCAGTAATTCTCATTCTTAAGAGTTAATATTTCTATGTTTAAGTATAATGGTGCACATGTTTGGAAAGGGAAAAATTATGTGGAATTGACTCAGAAATGTGAAATAATTTGCCCATAGTCTCAAAGTATTTAAATACAATTCTAAAGGATCCAACAGCAATGATACCTCTCCACCCTTTGCTAATCCAAGAGGTTTAAGTAACATGGGGAGAAGAGGGTTAGAGATAGCTTAGATTCTTATTTTACTAGCTTCATCTGTAGTTTTAAAAGTATTTAAAAATAATAAACGAAATCCTAACAATATGGAGGAAATTAAAGGAGCACTACAGGCCCTTCTAAATGTTGTTCATTCTGGCATTTTCTGAATGTGTTTAGTGAATTTGTCTTCTTTTACAAGGAAAAATACAGAGGTGTATTCCGGAGTGGGCTGTTCATGGCATATGTGCTTAGAGCGTGCTCACAGGCTCTCGTTTTTGTAATCGTGTCGCTGTTGGTTAAAGCAGAAATAGGTAAGATATTTCTGTAATAATATGTGGAAGAACTTGTGGTTTTAATTTTTTTATATTAGATAAAATATACTTTGTGTTTTGGTAGTTGGTCTTTTGTAGCTAATCTTCTGTTATGTAAATGATTAAGTCTGGCCCTGTGTTTGTAACTAATAGGCATTTTATTTCCTTTATACTAATGATGAGTATAAGCTCATTTTATTTTCTCTTAAGAAAGTGGCTAATAACCTAACTAAGTATCCTGAATGAGTGTTTTACATAATGGTTTATTTTAACAGAGGCTATTCATGGGTGTAGTCAACTTTGTTTTAAAAATACAATAATAACGGCTGTCATTTTCTTCGCTTTTTTTTATTGGGAACTTACTGACCATTAGGGTAAAAAAAAAAAACAGAAAATAGACATAAATAAGATAAGAGAAAGAGAAAAAAGACTTAGTTTTAATCCTGAAAATAAAAATGAGGACTTTTTCCTTTAAGTCAATTTTCAGTATTTTCTTTGGTTTAAATAACTTCTCTCTCAATTCCTGTTTATGTTAGTTGAGCCAAGCAGTCTCACAATTACCCAGAAAAGACTTTCAGGGGAAGCTTTAAATTACATCTAAAAATTCAGTGTGAATCTATAATTCTGAGTTTCTTTCATCTGCAGTTCCCAGGTGCTGCTAATTGCTGAATAGTTATATTCATACACAAATTTCTGGAGAGTAAAAGTGACCCTCCTTTAAGTAAGAGTCTAATGTAATAACAAGCATGTAATACACACCATGAAGAACTTTTTAAAGGAGACTATATTAATGTAATTTCATTATTAGCTGCATTGAGTAATGATTCAGCTAGCCCAGGGACTAATATCTTGAAGGAGTATCAGAATGTGGCATAGTAAGACCTAATTCTACCATAGACACACCAGAGCCCTGAGTATTTTCTCTTTGTTACAAAATAGTGTAGTAAATTACACATACTTTATACCACTAACTTATCAAGAGAAGGAATTGCTCCTAAATCTGTTGCTTAAAGCTTATAATAGCCTTTTAAAGATTTTTTTTTCTTTTTAATATGAGTACCTAAGTAAGCATTATAAATCAGAAATGGGGGTCAAAAAACATGTGATTTATTCTGGGAAGTATTTTTTAGTAGTCTGGTGAATAATTTGCGTAGAAGAGATTGGTTTTTCCTGGAACTGTGTTCCTGACTGTTCTTCCAACACTATTTTCTCACTGCTTTTCTATTTATAGTTCTGGTTATAGTATTACTGTTTTGAGAAGGTTTTAGTTCAGATAAATCAGACATTAATATAGCTAATTCTGTTCTCTTTGTGCATCACTAACACAAAATAATGAAGGTTAGTTATTTTTCTATGATTTGACAGGGTTAATTTTACTCTGTTTTAGGGAATTGTATATACTGTTCTTTTTAAAATGGGTTTCTTATATATTGACTATTATGTTTGTGTCTTAACTACAGAGGTGTGCAAGAAAGGAGATGTGACTGTGAGCCCTTCCCATGTAATTTCCCTTGGATCATCAGTTAATATTTCGTGCTCTTTGAAGCCCAACCAGGGCTGCTTCCCACATTCCAGTTTCAACCAGTTAATCCTCTATCAAGTCAAGAACAGAATCAATAGTCGGCATGGTGACTCTCTCAGTTCTCAGATCACAGGCCTCACTCTGGGTACAACTCTGTTTGTCTGCAAACTGGCCTGTAGAGGAAATACTGAGATTAGCATATGTGGGGCAGAGATCTTGGTTGGTGGTGAGTATTCATTCCGAACACCTAAAAATTGGTCATCTTCTGGTATTTGCCATGTATTGAGCAGAAATCCAAATATGGGACAGTCTTCTTTCTTCTACTACATGGGCATATCTTTGGAGACTTTGGGTCTCCTTTGGTGAGTGTCTTCCTTTCTTTCTCCTTCTCCCATCATCTTCCTCTTCCTTACTCTTCTTTCAGGTCATTAAGATCATTTACTCGCTGTCCTTGTGCTCCAGTGGCAGGAAAATGGATCTCTGCTGCTAAGTCTTCATTTCTTCTTGAAATGAGTTTGTTTAGAGCTACAACCACCTAAAAAGAAGAAAGAGATGTCTCTCTCCATTTATACAACCCAGGCTGACTACCTAATTCTAAGCACTCTCCTTGCCTCCTTTACTTCACACACAAAAACTAGTTCTTCCATCCATGCCCACCCTCTGCCACTGGTTATCATACTTAGCAGAGGTTAAAAGAGGACTCTGAGCTCTCCCTGGTGGCTCAACAGGTTAAAGCTCCGCATTATGAAGCTCTCCAAAGCCACTACAGCAGGAGTTTGATCCCCAGCCAGGGAGCTGACCCACATGGCATGGCAGACCTCTCTTGACCTGCCCACTGCTACCCTCAGCAATGTATTTTATTAATCTTCCTGTTCTGCTCCCCATTCTGTCTCTGGTGAATCCTCTCACCCATCATACCTCTGGCCTGTTCCCCAGTTCTGTAAGCATAAATAAATAAATCTTAAAAAAAAAAAAAAAAGTACCATCATACCAGTTATCTTTTACTGGTCTTTTAGAAAAGTGCTGGAGACAAATCTGACATGTAAACATTTCATGGCAGGAAGAGGGGGAAGAAATTGTACAGACCTAGGGAGGCAACAGCTGATTGTTGGGTGACTAGGGACATCTCCAGAAAGAAAATGGCAAAACAGTGACAGAGAAAGAGAGAATTTAACTGTTTGCTATTGATCAAAGTTTACCCTTAGGGCATCAGTTCCCCCACACTGCTGGCATGTACTGCCTTGAGAACTCAAATGTCAGAGTGCAGTATGAACTAGCACACATTCCCGCCTGCAGCTTGCTGCCTGCACCCTGCAGCCTTGAAGGTTCAACCAGGCAAGCCAGTGAGTTTGCATGGACCGGAACAATCCATTTTCACCCAGTGTAGCATTCTGTGCTTCTGTGGCTCTAGGAAAGCTCCAGAGTGGCAGGTGAAAGACATAAGGAAACAGGCTGGTTGACTAAGTTGCAAGGCCAGGGTCCCTGTCATAAAAACCAATACTGATAGAAAGTTCAATGAGACCCTTTCCAGGAAAGATGAAAGCATTGTCTCTGTGACCTAGAAGGATTGGTGCCATACAGTCTTCCTGGTGAGCTAACAGAAGCATTAAGCAGAACACCAAGCACATTCCAAGCAAATCACTGAGGGCTAAGGAGGCATAAACTAGGCCTAGTGCTCCTCTTCTAGCTCAAGATGTCCCAATCACTCCATTTACAGGTCACGTACTCAGCAATCTGTGGTTTAGTTAAAGGAGTTTGAGCTTTGAACCTCAGCCCCGCCACCAGCAGCAAACTCTTAGTCAACTCTCTGAGCCTCAGTTCTTCCATCTATGTCATGAGGATACTAAAACCTACTTGACAAGATGGTTGTAGTGATTAGATGCAAAGTGCTTAATCAAGTAACAGAAACAAAGGAAATGCTTTGGTAATGAGCGCTAAGGTTGCATTTCCATCCAGTTTTACTTTGTGCCTCATGGGTGCAGCATACTGGGTAGCTGAGCATATTTCCCTAAAGAGAATGATTATTGACAGAATGAAAATTTTTCTTTTCTTTTTTTTAAAAGATTTATTTATTTATGCATATGGAACAGGAGTACAGGTCAGAGGTACAGGACGGAGAGGACTCACCAGAGACAGAGTGGGGAGCAGAACAGGCAGAGAAACAAAATACACTGCTAAGGGAGTAGCAGGCGAGACAGGAGCAGTCTGCTGCCACATGTGGGTCACCTCCCTGCCTGGTGACCCTGGCTAGCTCCACAGTACTGCGCTTTAACACTTTGCACCACCAGGGAGATCCCCAGAATGAAAAAATTTAAGAACACTGCTGCTTCTTACCTCCTTAGTCCTTAAAAACACTTAAATATTTCATCCAGGTGGTTTGACATCTTACTAGACCAACATTACATATTTGTATTACAGTATAGGTTCTGTGATGTTAAGTCCAGGTATCCACAGTGCTACTGACATTTTCTTCTTTTTAAGTCGTTTAACAGTGCATTGCCTTGGAAGTCACCATCCTGGCAGATGTCCTTAGCCCCTCCATTTCACTTCCTATCTTTTTTTTCACTTTCCTTTCCATCCAGAGTACTGTTCATGCATGTAGTTGTAAGAATTTGCAGCTCCTGAAAGTCTATGGAGAAGGTAAAAAAGCATCTATCCTGGTGCAGCTCAGTTATGCGGTGCTGCCAGAATGTTGCTTGTGCAATGTGCTCAAGTGGTAACCACACCATCAAATATCTGTTCTTTGAGCAATTTTAGCACCTTTGAGGTGGAGAACTGACTGGAAGCCAACACCTTTTTCTGAGTATGGCTAGTCATTCCAAGAAAAGACACAATGAATATTGGTTTCACCCAGTGTAGTAAGCTAATCCTATTTAGTGAGGGAAGAAGCAGCTCATTTTCTATTTTGGGGTTAAGTGATAGTCCACAGTGCCATTATATGTCCTCAGAAAGCCTGTCATAAAGTTGGCTGGTTTTTTAGAACTGGTGATAGGTAAACAACCTTTCAGCCTTTTCTGTAGCCCCTTCCTGGGTTTGGCATACTCTTGTGCCAAGAGCTCATCAAACTGTGCAGTAATTGAACAACACCCAGTGCTCCGCTCAACCTCATGAGATTCACCCGCAAACTAGTTAGAAAATCAAGGCAGTAAATGAAAGTGCATTTTTGTGTAGCTGTTTTCAATATATACTTGGCTGCTGTTTCTGGAAGCTATTATTCTAAGATTTTTTATTCCCTTAATAAGTAGGACTTTTAAAAACAATAATAACCATATAATGATCCACACCAGGAACCTATGTAAAGTTATACACAATGTTACTTCAGTAAATTTTTTTTAAAAAAGAAGTAATGATTGTGATTATACATCACCTTGACAAAACCTTGGAAACTACAGAGTAGGTGGAACAGCGATAACTGGCTTAGCCTAAGCAGAGAATTAGAAAAGGCCAGATGCAACCTGATTTAATGCAGAAGCATTCACTCCAGATTCAGAAGCGGGAGATACCATGTAGTTCTGGAAGTGAGGTTAAAAGTGGACTAGGACAAAATATTTACCTGAAAGTCTATTTTTTAAATAGATTTTGAGATCCCCTTTCTGATTCTATGTGGTCAGGAGTCCTATTTCATTATTCTGTCACAAAACTGGAGGCTACATATCAGAGGGTCACAGAACTAGTTTCAACAAGTTCAATTGAGCTTAGCTGTACCATACTGTAAATAGAGGGGTTAAAAGACATTTACACACACATAGCTCTTTTTGGGCCTTTACCCTCCTCCAAATAGATTAGAAATTCCTTTTCTGGGAAATCTGACTAGGCCAAGAGGAAATATCTAAAATTATTGACAATACAAGTTCCCAAAAAAACCTAGCCAGATCACCTGGGTCACATGCCCTTCAACTGATAATTACACAGCTTTAATTTGTCACTTAATGCCCAATCCTATATTTGAATAAAAATGCAGTCACCTTTCACTGCTTAGTATAAAGGAAAACTTAGAAAAATGTCTAAAATGAAGGACAGAAACCAAAACCAGCACATGGAACAAAGTATATAAGCAAAGTAGAAAAATGTATTAGGGGAAAGAAATATTAAAAAATAAAAACTATTCTTGATATCCTTAGAGAATTAAGAGAAAATATTGCAACAAAACATAAATAGATGGAGGTACTCAGTGTCTCTGTACCTAAAAAATTAATTTATAAATGTTCAAAATTTGCTCAAGTGATACTGCAGATATCAGACATAAGTGGCACAGCCTCATAAGTGGCACTGCCTCTAAGGCAGCAAAGACCAGTTGATACAAGTCTTGGTGATAAATATCAGTTCAGTTGTGGAATGGGCTTCACTAAAAAAATGAACTCCTCATTACCAGGGATAATGGAACTAGCAGTGCATGTTTATCTGTCAGAGAGATGTAAAATATGTTGTTGGTTAAAGATTTGGACTCAAAACTGGAATAGTTTCATAATCTTGGGCAACACTCAAACTCTCAGTATTATTTCTGTCTTTATATAACAAGGAGAATAATATCTGTACATAATGTAGTTGCTATGCACAAAAATACTTAGTGTAAGGACTGGGTACATAGTGTCTGGACCATATTCACTATTAATACTATTGTTGCTGGAAGAAATTCATGCCTCAGAGGGAAATATGAACTTGATGAAATCTGAAATAGCTTCCAGCTACCTGGATATGGGAAACAGGAGCATCATGATATTGTTGGCACATAACATTAGTGCAATTGAAATATCACCTGTATTCATTTCAAAATGTGAGGGTTTGCTCTTTCCTTTTAAAGTTGTTCCTGAACAGCCTCAGAACTTATCGTGTATACAGAATGGAGGACATGGGACAGTGGTCTGCACCTGGGAAAGAGGACATGACACCCATCTATTTACTAAGTACACTTTAAAGTGAGTATCCTTAGATTTTTTTGTAGCTGTTTTGTAGTCTTCTCTTACTAGACATTTCCATATAATTAGATATTTTAAAAAATGATAATGTTATCCAGTGAAAACTGTTCATTCATCTACATGTGAGAACTGATGTCATGGGAAGGGACATCTGAATTCTAGGCCCAACTTTTGAATATCCTTCCCTGCTCTGGGAAGGTTAACCTGTTGGCTGTATTTATGACAGAATACAAATAGTACCATGGCTTATCCCCTGGTAAAAAGACTAACCTTAAAATTGTCTAGAACTTTAAATATTTGAACTTTTAATCTTTTGTGCTGAAAGGAGAAGGCACATAAAGTATCTTACTAAACACAATTATCTATCATTTACAGGTTAAATGGACCAAAAAATCTAACTTGGCAAAAGCATTGTAATGGCAATTATTGTGATCATTTGGACATTGGAATCAACATCCCTGAATCATCTGAATCCACTTATGTAGCACAGGTTACAGCTATCAATAGTCTTGGAAGTGCTTCTTCATTTCCATCTGTGTTCACCTTCTTTGACATAGGTATGTCTTATGTTACTTCTTTTAGGTGTTACTCTGAACACATCTCTCAAATGTCTTCTATGATTGTTTCAAAAGGGACAGAGGTTAATAGAAAATTGCCAAGATGCATTGACAAAGGGTAGATGTTACCTCAATGCAAGGAAAAATACATGATCCTAGAGCTATGTGGAGATGACTATACACAATGGGGTACTCAGTATTATTCTGTCTGTTGAAGAAATTGGAGACTCTGACTTCACATTCCCTGAAAGCACCAATCTCCAAGGACTCTTCCTCTGACTCTGAGGAGAGGATTCTATGAAGTTATTCAAAAAACTCAGTATAGGCCCTTGGCATAAGTGTCTTTTTACATTCATGGACACTATGGACATGCTGGGATAGATGAGCCAGGTGTTGAAATAAAGTATTTCAAGGTACAAATGCATGTTGCTCTGAGAATACTTAACCTCTATCCCTTCATTAGCTTGGGAACTGAAGTAAGTCAGCCCAGTACATTTCTAAAGAGAGATAATTGACCCAGTTAAATCAGAGGCCAGTGTCAAGCATCTCCAGCTTTTGGCCATTTCAGGTGGGACTACGCCTCTGACCTACCTGAAACTCTGCCCCTTGCATTGGGTGGTCCTCTTCTCTCTCCACAGTGCCACTTTGCATACATATTGATAACTGAGAGTCACTGAACATTTACTATACATTTTCTATCATACTCTTCCCATTCTACTTTCCACCTCATCCCATTGATTATTCATCTCTATGCCACCTTCTTTTTCTCTTATTCTTTCTTTTTTTGCCTTTCTTATGATTTTTTTCCTACCAACAATTCTTTTTATCCTCACCCTGAGTTGGCCACCACTGGAAACCTCTGTCTTCTCAGCGCTTGGCCTCTTAGAATCAATACACAATTTTCTTTAGAGCTTTGAGTTCAATGGAAACCACACTCACACTAACTGTGGTGGTAGTTCATTTGGTAAAGAATGAAGTTTTAATAATTATTTTAATAGTTTAGAAGTATAGCAACCTTTTTTTCTTTCAAAAAGTCAGTAATTTCTGTATTTTACAAAATTGAGTGTTAGTGCATCTTAGAAATAAGAGTTTTGTTCAATTTTTTATGATTCCCGTCGTTACATATGACAATTGTGAAGTCTTTGTCCTTGTCACTAGTGAGACCTCTTCCTCCGTGGGACATCAGAATCAGATTTGTAAATGCTTCTGTGAGCAAGTGCATCCTTCAATGGAAAGATGAAGAACTGGTGCAGCTTAATCGACTCAGATATCGGCCCATTAACAACACATCCTGGAATATGGTAATGGTCTTTAGAGTGAAGGGGAGAAACAGGAAAGGTTTTAAGTGTTACTGCACAGATTCTTGTTTTCTCACATTGGTTAAATACAGACTTTAAGAATATTTAAGCCAATAGTATGCCCTTAAGGTATACCAGAGAGAAACATACCCAATTTTATTTGTTAAGTAATATCTTGATTATTTTTGATCATTGATTTGTAGTTAAGCCACTGTCTCTGTAAACCAACCTGATGTTTTTCAGTTTATTTCTAGTAAAGGCCCCCCTCTCTTCTTGTTATTCAACCTTTTTTTTTTTAAATGGCTGTATTTTATCTTTCCTTTTAGTTGAACAGTATTCTATAATGTGGGTATGCCACATCTTGATTCACTCACTTTTTTTAAAAAACAAATTTATTTATTTATGCATAGAGAATTGGAGTACAAGCTACAGGTGTGGGTGGTGAGAAGATTCACCAGAGACAGAGTAGGTAGTAGAACAGGCAGACTGACTGAAATACACTGCTGAGGGGAACAGCAGGCAGGTCAGGAGAGATCTTCCATGCCATGTGGGTAACTCCCCTGGCTGGGGGGTCAAAATCGTGCTGCAGTGACTATAATAGCTTCATGGTGCTGTGCTTTAACCCATTGTACCACCAGGGAAGGACTGATTCACTCACTTATGGAGGGGCATTTAGGCTGCTTCTGTTTCCTAACTATTAAAAATAGTGCTCCATTAAACATTGTAGAGCATATAGTTGTTTACATTGATGCTAGAAACCTAGGAGTGGGGTTGCAAGTCATACATTATTTCCATTTTTTAAAATTAATTTATTTATGCATATAGAATTGGGGTACAGGTCAGAGGTGCAGGGGCGGTGAGAGGATTCACCAGAGACAGAGTGGGGAGCAGAACAACCAGAGAAAGTACACTGCTGAGGGGAGCAGCAGGCGAGACAGGAAATGTCTGCTGCTCCATGTGGATCATCTCCCGGGCCAGGGATCGAGCTCACTCTGAGGTGGCTGTGGCTAACTTCCAGTGCTGCGTCCTAACCTCTTGCACCACCAGGGAGGGCCCCATTTTTAGTTTTTTAAGATGAGTCTAGATTACTTTCCATAACAATTGCACCCAGCTTACACTCCTACCAACTGCATAATAGTGTTCTTCATTCTTCACATTCCTTTCAATACTTGTTGAAGGTCTTTTTAATATGTGTACATGTTGTTCACACAAGTGTGAAATGGTATTTCATTGTGGTTTTAACCTGCATCTCTTTTATTGGATGTAATGATGGACATTTTTCTAATAGCCTTATGGATATCCTTTTGTGTAATTGTTCATGTTTGCTGCTACTACTACAATCCATTTACTACTTGGGTTGTTTGTTTTTCTATTGAATTGCATACTTCTTAAATATGTATCTTCAATATTAATCCCTTGTTTGTTATATATTGTGTGAATATTGTCTCCCATTCAATATGCTGTCTTTCTAATCTGCTTACTTTTTTTTTTTTACTATGTAAAAGCTTTTTAACTTGAGGTAATGCCAATTGTTTATTTTTGCTTTTATTTCCCTTGCCATACAGCTTGAGTCTCTAAAAACAACTTTCACATCTTTTAGCATCATAGAACATATTGTCAATGTCTTCTCTTATATATTTTGTTTGCTGCAGGCCTAAGATCTAAATCTTTAATTTATTTGGGATTTGTTTTTTGTATGGAGATAGAGAGTGACCCAACTTCATTCTTTTATGTGTGACTTTCCAATTTTATCAGCTCCACTTATTAAAGAGGCTCTCCTTTCCCTGTTGTATGACTATGGCTGTTTTATCATAAATGAGGTATTGGTATGTATGTGGAGTTACTTCTGGACTTTCTAGTCTATTCCAATGCATCTTTTTCTATGCAGATGCTATATTGTTTTTATTGATTTTTTTCGGTAAAATATTTACATTTTGATGTCAGTGACAACATAGACATTAGATAGAGTTCTAGGTCAAACTTACAACTGTTATTTTTTAAATTTATTTTTATAATATGTTTTTAATTGTTTTTCTTTATAGTTAAGTTTGATATCAGATAACATGATACCTCCATTTCTCTTTTTCCTCAAGATTGCTTTTGTTATTATAAATTGCAGTATTTTTTGTTCTCTTCCCTTGAAAAATATTGTGGGTATTTTGATGGGTATTTCAGTAAATTTATAATCTCTTTGGACAGATTAGTCATTTTCATTATATTGATTCTACCCATCTATTAGCCTTTCTTTCTCCTTATGTCCTTTAAAAACATCTTATAGTTCTCGTGGTATAGGTCCTTCACCTAGAACCTAGGTATTTAATTCTTTTTGAAGCAGTTATAATTGGAGTTGTTTTTCTTGACTTCTTTTTGTTCATTGTATATTAAACTGCTATGGATTTTTCTGTTTTGTTTCCTGACACTTTGCTGTATTCAGCTATTGTTTCTAACAGCTTTTTAGTGTACTCTTAGGGGTTTTCTCTATACAACTTATCATCTGCAAACAGTGATTGCTTTAGTTCTTGTTTTCTAGTTTTGATTCCCATATTTCCTGGTTTTTGATAGCTCTATCAAAAACCTCTAGATCGAAGTTAAACAGAAGTGATGAGATCATGGGCATTTTTGTCTAATTCCTGATCTTAAGGGTAAAATGTTCAATTTTTCACTGTTAAGTATTACATTGGCATTGGTTTATAATAGATGACTTTATTATATTGAGGTGGGTTCTTAAATTGTCTTATATAATTAAAGTTTTATTTTTGAGGTCAATTCTGTGTGTGTGTTGAAACATTAATCCCATTTTAATTGTGAACAAATAAGAAATGATCTCTACTTTAGAAAGTTCTCAAAGCCTTTTTGAAAATTGGTGGCTTTTCATATACATTTTTGTTGAGATAATATTGTTAAAACATGTTGCCATTGTATAAACTATAATTCTACATCTGTAAATACTGCTTTATGATTACTGTCAAAAACTAGTTTCCACCCATCACCAGCCACTTGTCCCCTTTTACACATTTCACCCACTTCCTTGCTCCCTTCCCTCTGTTAATCACCAGCTTTCTGTATTTAAGAGTTTATTTGTTCATTTGATTTGTTTCCTTATAACTACCTATGAGTGATATCATAAGGTTTTGTTTTTCTCTATTAGTAGTTTTAAACCTTTATTTACTCTTTTTTACAGCTGCTTTCAGGACTCTCCCCTCCCACCCACCCCCCAACCCAAATAGTTGAAACTCCCTTAGTCCCATGAGTTTTTTGGGCTTTGTCTTTTAGTGAGAAGCTATTATTTTCTATTAATATCATGTGTATTGTATAGCCCATTCATTGATATTTCTCCTAATTGAGTAACAGATCTGAAAAGTAAAAAAAGGTCATGTGGTCCCCAGTCAATTTTTTTTCAAAACCTTATCTGATTCAAGGTTAATGCTACAAATGCCAAAGGAAGACATGACTTGCTGGACCTGAAACCATTTACAGTATATGAATTTCAGATTTCCTCTAAGATACATCTTTACAAAGGTAGTTGGAGTGACTGGAGTGAATCATTGAGCACACAAACACCAGAAGAAGGTATGTATCAATAAAGATGAGGGAGGGAGGGTAAAAAAGAAAAGAGGAAGAGAAGATGATGTAATGGAATAGAATCTTTAAAGTATTGCTACTGAATCAACAAGTATGAGTGCCTTAATTAACAAGTTAATTTTGATTCTAATCTAAACACTGTGACTGTCCAGGGAGATATGTTTATGTTGCTAGAAAATGTTTAAAATCAAATAAATCCTACTTCCATTTTCTGCATGTTTGCAATTTAGTTATGAGTTTATGTCTCAGTAATGTTTGGCTATTTCTATACTTACTACTCAGTAACTTTCTTTTATTCCACAAAGCTAATCAGTAATAAGTTTCATTCCCTTATAGTCAAACCTTGATACATTTTACCTTTCAGACGTTCCCAAAATTAGTATTACTTCCTGAGCCTCAAGCTTGATAAAAAGTAGACTCCGGAGACATAACATTTAGAAATAAAATTTAATATCCAGAAATCCACTCTCCTCCAAACACTGCAGCACTGTTCTTCATGCCTGTGATATTCACTATTCAGATGAGTACCACCAGACTGCTCAGGGCTATGAAAGGGAGAACAAATATATTTTTCATTCTATTGTACTTTTGGAGGGTAATTATTGGGGAGATAACTGTATTCACATGTAATCAAATATTTTATTGAAGCAAAAATACTTATATGAACTTTATGCCTTTGGAGACACAAGAAATAGTCATCTAAATACTAATTTTCAAAAGCACTCAATTAGTGATAAAGTATAGAGCTTTTCAGAATTTCTGTAAATTTGGCTCACAAAGTTATTGGCATATAATTCAGTGCTTTCTGAAGTAGTAATGTGAGAAATTTCCAAATGCTTATTTGTAAAACTTATGGAGAAGCACATATGTAAACTAGCCTCATGATTAAGCTATGTTTATTTTCTGTGAGCTACTAGGGATTTTTGGTAACTGATTATACTAATCAGTGGTACTTTAATGATATTCAAAGATCTAAAAAACCTGCTCATAAAATATAATGTGTAGTATAGAGATTATAGAATAGTTGTATGTTCTTCCTTTCTGTTTATATTTCCTCTATTTTAAAAAGTTTAAAAATTAATTCATCCAATAAATTAGAATTTATTACTTCCTATTTCATGATAAAATCTCTTAAATAAATGTTAAGCCACTTGCTTCCTTTTAAATGCTTACCATTTTTACAATTCAGAGATTATTCTTACTATCATTTTGTTATACAAAGTCAAAAGTAATTTTCTTTAAGCCTCATGGATTTGATTTTGTTCAAACATAGTACAGATAAACTTTTGAAAATGGGACATATTTTATGTGCCTGCCCAAGGTATTAGTAAATAAGTTGAGAATTTTTAAAGTTATATCACTTAGGTTGAAGTATAAACTAGGGAAACTGGGCTAGTAAATTCTTGTCATTCTTACGCACAGCTGATAATGACCTATTTAGAATGGAATGAAAGGTTGTTCTCTAAGTGTTTATCTATTGAATTAAAAGCCCTTAATGTAAGACAATAACTTTCTCACATCCTATAAAGTAAACCACCATCATAACAATGAGTACAGCAACTCATGGTTAGGAACTTGCATATGGTTATGAATTGAACCAAGGAGGCTGGCTTCTTCAGAGTATTGCTGGCATTCATAAAGAGAAGAAATCTTGCTCTGAGATACACCAGGTTTACCAAGCTCTGTTGGCTGCCTTTCAGTGTCTGAGTCTTCCCTTGTGTGTGTGTGTGTGTGTGTGTGTGTGTGTTTGATCTTTCTGTGGGTTGTTATAAGGTCTCTTTTCTCTTACTCTAAGCTGCCTGGTTTTCACCTCTTACCACTGTTTCTGTCATCAGTTTCTTTATGAAAAATCAACTGATGTAAACCTAAAGGGTGTGAAATTTTTTTTAACACTTCTTCCTTTAACCCTTTAAATGAATACCCACATGTAACTTGGCGTTTTAAAAAATTACTAGTAAGCTTTTTATAGCCACTCTATAAGTGTGAATGATCTTATGATAGAGTTTTTTCTTTGCAGCTTCTGCCACTCAAAACTGAGAGCAACATAATTAGCTCCTGGTGGACTGGGTAGTTATTTATTTCAAATCAGGAGAAAATGAGGGTGTGTTTAGTCCATGTATCCCTTTCCTGTGTCATTAAGTTGAATTTTGTCATGATTCTCCATTACTTTTTAAATGATACCTTGGTAAATGTTTGGAGGAAAGATCCATTTCCTACGTTTTTGTCGACAGCCCCTCAGTTGGCATCCATCAAAGGCAGGCCTAATGCTGTAGCAGGCAGCCATATTTTACTTCTAGGGGGGAAACATAACTTGTCCTTGGATTTCATGGTACCATACATACCTGAGTATATGCCTAGGTATTGGGGCTAAGTGATTCTCACCACTTAGATCACCAGGAAACTCCAGAATAAAGAAGAATGCACTTTTACTTAGAGCTGATTTCTTCATTAGGTACATCTCTGTTCATTCATCATTTTTAAGACTTATTTTACTTATGCATACAAAAGCTGGGGTGTAAGCCAGAGGTGCAGGGATGGGAACAAGTGAGAGGATTCACCAGAGACAAGTAGGCAGCAGAACAGGCAGATTGACTGAAATACACTGCAGAAGGGAGCAGTGAGTGAGATAGGAGAGGTCTGCTGTGCCATGTGGGTCAGCTCCCTGGCCGGGGATTGAACTCTTGCTGCAGTGGCTGTGGACAGCTTCAGAGTGCTGAGACCTAACATCTTGCACTACCCGGGAGGCCCTTATTCATCATTTTTAAAGGATTTCTTTACCTCTTGAAAAAAGGTAGTCTTACCAAAATCTACCTCAGAAAGTACAGCTACTTGTTCCAGTTGTGAAAGAGGAGTCCTTTCCTACCATGGCAAAGGGACAGTCATTGGTAAGAGAGCCCCAGAGAGAAAGGAATTGCAAGGTAAGCAGCTATAGCCACCCTCTTCACTCTTGAGAAGCAGAACAATTTATTTATTCATTTGTAATTTTTAAGTATTTGTAATATTTTAAGTATTAGTTTGTAATATTTTAAGTATTAATTTGTAATATTTTAAGTATTATAAGGTAGGTTAGATGGGTGTATTTTTACTGGAATTTATACTGGTATTTGAATTCTGTATAATTTTCACATGTAGATGAAATAATTCCTCCTTTGATTTGTTTTCAACATTTTAAGTGTAAAAATGTTTAATAGTTCAAAGGCTATATAAAAACCTTTTATATAGTTTTTATATAAAAACTTTTATATAAAGTTTGCCGACTACTAAACTAGCTAAACTTGGAAATAATATACTGTGTCTTTGTGTCATGGGCTTGAGGAAAAGAGGATAGATGCAGACATTTTCACTACAGGATACATGCTGGTCCACTACAGGGTAAATGCTGTTTGAGAACCAGTGGTAGCCTCTAACCTCTTTCCTTCTTTTGATCTCCTCTAAGCCCAACACCTACCCTGAGAAAAGTAAATGCCTGAGCTCAGGCTTTGACAAGATGGTGATCACCCCAGTGAGGAAAATATGCTTCCATGAAGCCCCCCAAGCAAACAAGTAAAATAACTATGCTTCTCTAGTTGGGCTATGAGGAATGTATGTGTATCAGAATCTAAGCCAGGTGCCGTGATACAATGGGAACCAGAGCCTTCAACTCAAGGGCTTATAGTTTGGTTTAGGATATTAGAGAAAGATTCCTAGCACAGATGGCAACAATAAGAAAGGCAAAGTCAATGAAAAATTGTGACCTTCTTCCCTATGGAACAGATGGCCTCCAGGGTCATTGCAGCAGAAGAAAGGGACTATTTCCTCTTGGAGCACTTGATTCTCTTGAATTCTGTGAAATCTCATGTTGCTAGGTTTTATTCTACCTTTTCCACCAATTCTTCTTAGTCTCTCTTGCTGGTTATCTTTCTCTCCTCAATCTCAATCCATATGGCTGTCTCTGCACCACCTCATTTTTCCAGCTGATCTCATTTAATGTCATGTCTCTAAAACTAGATTGCTAAATGATTGAAAGATAAATAGCTAGATCAAGCACATAGTTTCAGTTCTGGACTTGCTCCCCAGAACTCAGATTTGTATTCCAATCACTTATTCCATAACTCCACTTACATGGCAGTAGATATCCCAAACCTCACATAACCTAAACAAAAATGTTAATTTTTTTTCTCCAAAGCAAAAATGTTTCTTTCAGACTTCCTATCACCATAAATGACATCATTATCTTCCTAGACCTAAGTCAATAATTGAGAAAGTATTCTAAATTCTCCCTTTCTGCCTCTCTCTGTATAATCTTCTCTCCTAAACATTTTCAAAAATCTGTTCATTGCCACTATAATCATTCTACTTTAGGCTGATTTTTCATTATTAAGCATAATGATAAAATGAACACTTCTGAACTCAACATTCAGTTTAAATACTATCAAATTATCAGTATATTCTTACCCCATCCTGCCTACCCACTGTAAACCACTATCCTTCACCATACATCCATCACCCCCTTGCTTTTCTCATAGCTTTCAGAAATACTTGTGACTCTAAACAATGTTTTGATTATTTTGGAACTTAATTAGAAGTATATACAGTATGTGATGTTTCACAGCTCACTTCTCCTCATCAGTGTACTCAACACAGTGCCTCTAGTTATTTTAGTATGAATGCAACATCCCTACTTAAGCAACGAACTCATCACTTTTGATTTGAGTATGAAGATATATATATATATATCTTTTTTAAAAATAGAGAAAGTATTCATCTATATCAGATGCTGCTGATAAGCCCAGTGAAATAAGAACAGAGGTGTGACTGTTGGATTTGGCAAACCAGATTATTGCCAGTCAGGAGCAGTGTCTCTAAAGTGATGAGAACAACATCCCAATGGGATCGGTTGAGAATGAATGTGAGGTAAGGCAATAAAAACACTGACAGCTCACAACTCTTTAAGAAGTTTCTGTGTAAGGGAGCAGAGTTCCAGAAGCTGGAAAAGGAGGTGGTATTTCAAAATTCTTTGGTTTTGTTTTTAGGATAAGAGTTAGTGTGGTATATTTACAAAGTGATGATAAGAGTCCAGCAGAGAGGAAATAAATAATGATTCCGGAAAAGTAGTGATAATTAGGGAGAAGAGGTCCTTGAAAAAGT